ATCCAACCGGTTTGACCCAAAACCAGCTTAGAGATAATGATGGATCAACCCAGCTTCGTTATCCATCCCGAAGAAGCTGAATCCGCCGCTAAACGACTCGGCGTCTCCGTCATCAACCTCCTTCCTTTACTGGTCACTCCGGCGAAATCCCTCGCTCGACCTCCGATCTCAAAATTCCCCGTCGCAGCAATCGGACTCGGATCATCAGGTCGGATCTTCGTAGGCGTCAACATCGAATTCCCAGGTCTCCCTCTCCACCACACAATCCACGCCGAGCAATTCCTCATCACAAACCTCAATCTCAACTCCGAGCCAAACCTCCGTTACATCTCCGTCTCCTCCGCTCCTTGCGGCCATTGCCGTCAATTCCTCCAAGAAATCCGCAACGCACCTGAAATCAGCATCTTAATCACAGATCCAAACGCCTTCCGCGACAACGCCGCGAAGGAAGGAGACGAGAACGGATTCGTACGAATCGAGACCATCTTGCCTCACAGATTCGGGCCACACGATCTACTCGAGAAACATATCCCTCTTCTTCTCGAGCCACACGATAACAATCTCACTCTCTCAGATCCCGATCTCACAAACGGTCACATAAATTCCGACGTTTCCTCAAATCTGAAACGTACGGCGTTATCGGCGGCGAATCGATCGTATTCGCCGTATAGTCAGTGTCCGTCGGGAGTGGCGATGGTGGATTGTGAAGGGAAAGTGTATAGAGGTTGGTACATGGAATCAGCTGCGTATAATCCAAGTTTGGGACCGGTACAAGCGGCGTTGGTTGATTTCGTGGCTAATGGTGGAGGTGGAGGGTTCGAGAGGATCGTCGGAGCTGTGTTGGTAGAGAAGAAAGATGTGGTGGTGCGTCAAGAACACACGGCAAGGATGCTTTTACAGGTTATAGCTCCCAATTGCGATTTCAAGGTCTTCCATTGCTGAGAGAGAAACCAACAAAAAAACCTCCGTAAAGTCTTTAATTCATAATCTTTCGTTTTTTTTGTCAACAAAATTCATAATCTTTCAATTCGTAATAGTTGGGAATTGATGTATATTTCTCTCATACGACGATGATGAAAAAAAAAACTGAAATGTTAAATTATTAGTGATTAGTGATAAACCTACAAGGGTAATCTGTAATCACACTTGTCGTTGTTATTTGTATTGGTGATAGTAATCGAATACTATACTGTTTGATCCATTAACCATTGTTCTGTTTTGTTCTTCTTGGTCTTTTTGGATGTTTTGTCGATTCAGTAACATCACTATCTCATACAAAATACAACTTTTGTTGTTGAATTAAAGATAAGATCGGATAAAGTTGTGGTTTTAATCAGTAGAAGTTGTAGAAAAGTTTATGCCTTTACACATTTGATTTGATGAGATATAAAATTCCATCGATGAATAAGGAAAAGGAGTGCGTTTGCATACGTATCGGAGGCAGGAGTTGAAGTTCAAAATTGAATATATTTTTACAGAAAGTAGTAACTAAAAAGACTTTCGTTTTGTAACCAAATTAACAAAAAAAAAAACGTTAAATCCTATCCTCTAAGGTCTAAGCTAACCATAGAAGACTCACAAATTGCGATATAACAATGCGTGTACTGCAAAATTTACATAGCGAATACGGAAATAAATGTGTAAAAGATCAACTGGACCGTGAGGGTTTTGCTTTGAAGAGTTAAAGATTGAGACTTTTGTTGACAATGAAGGCATAGAAGAAGACGTCCCTGTTTTGTTCACGTCACTGTCGACTTGCCGTAGTTTCTCAACCAAGTTCATTGTAAGCCACTAAATTTTTAAGGATCTCAAGATCAACACGTAAAACGTGCCATGTATGTGTCACTATGGTCTCAAACTTAAAACTTGTATCATTACATCAACTTCCAAATCCTGTATTTTGATAGCATAGAGCAAAAGGTTCTTTTTGCATCATGTTGAAATTTCTTCCACCGGTTCAGCGTTGCTTCGCAAGGGCTATGTATACAAATTCACGAAAGCAAAACAGAAAATACTATGTTTCGTTTTGTTAAGAGGAAGAAGAAAGCGACGAAGATGCTACGCTCATGGTCACCTTCTCTTCATCATCTTCCAACACGAACAATGGCTCTGTATTCCTACACATGCCATGAACCAGAACAACGGGCAAACCAGCCAAAACCCCAAACAGAATACTGTGGGATATGTTGGTCAATATAAATACACCGATCGTGAAGACCAATAAAACCAGCACCAAAGTAGAATCATCGATCACACTGCCAAATATCATCAATGGAACATTATCCCGGGAGTAGACATATAGCCATGCAAATATCAAGATAAAGAAGAAAGAGAGGTGGACCGGTTGCCAGAGCATGCTGATCAAGATAGTAACAATGAAGATGACACTGTAGTTGGTTCGGAAGATCATGATGTTGGTTTTGATTCGTTCGGTAGCAACACTAAATGAGATAGGAAGGCTAAAGGCATTACATTGCACAAGTTCAAGCCATGGCCTTTGAGAGCTAAGGCCTAACGAGATCACCTCTTTGGCTCGTCCCAATAAGCTCAGGTTCGACGAGGCATTTGCTTGGGATGGTATAGTGCCATAGGTTGTCATATTCTTTTACAAGCAACAAATAGAAAAAAAGAAACAGAGAACATAAACACAGAAACAAATATGGAGAAAAGAATGTGAAGGTAGCCAATTTGAAAAATAAATTGTGTCAGCTCAATGTTTCTGAGGTAGTTAGACTGTCTCTCTTATTTGGGAACATTTTTATCAGAACACCAGAAGAGAGGGCTTCCTTAAGCTCCTGTAGGTTACAATGTACTAATAATGGAAAGGAGAGATTCAAAGGAATGGATGGATACCCTTAAACTTCTGATTGCAAAATCTTAATGCTATAACGAGTCACTGTCATTACATGAAATTTCGGGAAAAACAAATTCTTAAAAAGTGTCATTAGACCTTATTGTCTACGAGGACAATATACTAAACCTAGAGGACATTTGAGCTAGTCGAAGTAAGGATACATGCATTCTACATGTCTACAGAACACAAAGTTGTTTGATACATATACCAGTGAACCAGCATGAATCCATTTAAGGCCGCACATCAAATTCGGATATAAATCCCTGACCATAGTCTCTGCATAGCCTAATCATTACCTTCACTGGCTGCTCGCGTNAGAAGCAATAGCCTCACCACGATAAACCCTCCATGGTCCTCGATAGAATATCGGCTTCATCAGAGGCACCGTTTTCCCTGGGTGCTCTTCCCAAAATTTCTCCTATTCAACAGAGTGGAGTAACATAAGCTTACAGAAGAACAAGAAGCACAACATATTCTAGTANGTGATTCACATTAAACAATGTAAGATCCACAATGAAAAATCAATAAACACAGGAAAAAAACCCTGAATTAAAAAAGCCTAATGAACAGTTCCAGGAAGAACAATCCAAGTATAGGTTTTTTTTTCTTGAACAAGAAATCCTTTTTATCAGTAATCAACAATCCTCAATTCGCAGAATATTGATACACTAACGCACTTCAGGAACCTATTTTATCTCATTTNGAACCCTAACATTGCAAATCACGAGAACCCAATACACCAAAATCAGATANGAGCCCACAAACTCTAATAAAAATTCCGAGCCAAATCTTACCTTGTAAAGCTGCTCTGTAATTGCAGNGCCGATCACGCCGGTGTAAAAGGCGGCGACATAGATAGTTACCAAAGTTGTGAAGGTTTTTGGTCGACGGTAAGGTTCGATCATTTCCCAAACAGCAAATCTCTCGAACTTTTTGTATTTATAATCGGCGTATTTCCTCCATAGCTGACTCCACATTCCTTGCATCTCTCAGCTTTCTCCTTTCTCAACCTTCACCGAATTTTGGATTTTTGGAGCGGTTTTCGCGACGGCGCGTNGAACCTGAGAGAATCTGGAAATGAACGAACAAGAAAAAAAGACTTAAAATGTTAAAATGTTTACCAAATAACCCTCTTATTCCCTGTAAGTTTTAGCTTTTGGCCCTTGATTTATATCTTTAGATCCACTTTGATCTTGTTAGTTGATTGTAATCATTGTATTGTCACACTATTTGGCCAGAAACTTTTAAAATTTTTGTTTNTCACCATCGTTTCGATAAATTGAGAAACTTAGAGATTCACCCCATAACTATGCAAATTAG